TGCAGCAGGTGCAGCAGCAGCAGCAGCTTCTGCTGCTGCGCCTGCTGCTGCAGCTGCTGTTGATGCTGCTGCTGCGGTAGAAGCAACGCCTGGAGGAAGGACCGGGGGGCCCCCTGCTGCAATTGAGGGTACAGCACCGCCCCCGGGGGGCCCCCCTCGGTGCAGCACGAGGGCTCCCGGGAGTCTGTGTGGGCCCCCCTCTGCTGCTGCTGCAGTTTGTGCTGCTGTTGGCAGCAAACGAAGAGCAGCAGCAGCAGCAGCAGGAGGGGGAGGAGACAACCACCCCGCCGATCCCGATCCCGGGGGTTGTTGTGGGGTCTGAGGGGGGCCCCCTGTGCTGCCCCCCCACGGCAGAGGAGAAACAGCTGGCGACGGCTGCAGCGGGGGGCCCCCCCCCCGTGAGGGTACAGAAGAAGAGACAGAAGAGGAGACAGAAGAGGAGACAGGCCGAGAGAAGGGGACGGGAGAGACAGAGACAGAGACAGAGACAGGAGAGACAGAGACAGGGGAGGGGGGCCCCCCTCGCGGCAGAAGAGAAGAGGAGGGACGGGGGCCCCCACCAGCTGTCTGTACACCCCAAGGCGGGCGAGAGGGGGCCCCTAAGAGACGCACTGGGGGCCCATAGAACCCTGGACCCTGCTGCTGCTGCTGTTGCTGCTGCTGCTGCTGCTGCTGCTCCGGCTGTTGCTGCTGCTGCTGCTGCAGCCGCTGCTGCAGCTGTTTCTGCAGCAATAGCAGCTGCTGCGGTTGCAGTGGTTGCTGTTGTTGCTGTTGTTGTTGTTGCTGCTGCTGCTGCTGCTGCTGCGGTTGAGCGTTGCCTGTGGGGGGCCCCTGTGTTGCTGGTGCGAAGGGGGGGGGGCCCTGCGGTACAGGAGAGGCAATGGGGGCCCCCGCGGGGGGCCCTATGGGTGTGGGGGGGCCCCTGCCGGGTGCATAAATAGGAGGGGCCCCAGCGGGAACCCCAGCAGCACGAGCTGCTGCTGCTGCTGCTGCTGCTGCAGCAGCAGCAGCTGGGGGCAGTGATGCAGCAGGCTTATGCGGGACAGACTGCAGAGGGCTGCCAGGGGTGGGTGTTACTGCAGCAGCAGAGCCAGGGGGCCCTAGGGGCCCCCCTGTGGCTGCAGCAGCAGAACCGGGGGGCCCTAGGGGCCCCCCCAGTGGCCGTGGGGGCCCCGCATTCCCTCCCAGGGGCGCTGGGGGGCCCCCTAGGGGCCCTGCGGGCCTCATTAAGGTTGCAGAGGGCCCCCGCAAAGGCCCTGGGGGGCCCCCTGGGGGGCCCCCTGGGGGGCCCCCTGGGGGCCCCCCTGGGGGCCCCTGGGTCCCCAGCATTCGTGGGGGTATAGGTATAGGGGAGAGGG